AGTGAGAAATATATTACCCTATTAAGTCATTTTTACCGACTAACTTGGAGTAGCCGATCATAAGGACTGAATATATACAGACACAAAATGCTCCCTTTTTATATATATATATATATATATATATATATATATATATATATATATATATATATATATAATGTCCTTTTTGATTAACTTGCCATAATGAAATAATTAATGAGTATGGACTAAAAACAATAAAATGATTGTTTTTTTCATCTTTTCTATCTTATGTACCTTTTTTTTTCTAATGGGCTTCATCTAGTTCCTTGCTAGGTGATGTTCCTTTTATTATACTCCCTCTGTCCCAAATTAATTATCCACATTTAACTTTTGAAGACTTTTTTCTTCAACTTTGACCTTAAATATTTTTATTTGTGTTATATGTTACTTGATGAAACTTATAATAATGAAAAGACATTTAAAATACAATCCATTCATATATTTTGCATCAAGTATCATCTATCAAAAAGAAAAATATTTAAGATCAAAGTTGAAGAATAAAGACTTCAAAAGTCAAATGTGAACAATTAATTTGAGAGGAGGTAGTATATTTGTTAGCCGTTTCCAATTTTTTTTTCTTTCATCGAAAGAAAAGGCATCAACTAAGCGATGAACCCACATTTTGTAGTTTACTATATACTCTATCTTTATATATATTAAACTAGAAACCTAATTACATCACCTAAAACAATCTGGCCCCTTCAATGTTTTTCATTGATTATTTTAAACCACTGGATCAATTTTGTTGATGTTATCATAACAAAAGGGAACTACAAATACGCCTTTGTTACCGTCTAAAACCATTTTTCCTCCAAAATACGGATTACTCTCTTCCTTTTTCTCTCTCTGATGAAGATAATATCAAGAGCCGATGATCTCTCCAATTTCTATCCATGTTCTTCCTCCTCAAAATCAATGATCATTAAGCCATATTATTATATATAACGAGCCACTTATCTTCTCCATCAATGCATCTCCTGCATCGTGTTTGTCACCAACAACTTGAAATTGAGATTGACTACCAAAGATTATTCCCAGTGCGCTTTTCTTCTTCTCAAGGTACGCATTCTTTTTAATTTTTTTTGTCTCAATTCTGCTAATAAAAAATGTTATTAATCTTGCCTACTTTATCTTCTATTGATTTTGCTAATTCAAATGTCACTGATATTGTCTAATGTATCTTCTGTTGATTTTGCTAATAAAAATTTCGATTGATATTGCCTAATGTATCCATGTGTGTTGCCAGAAAATTAAACATCATACCTGAATGAATTTGAATCTGGAGGTAACTTTTTTGAAATTGCCTTCTGATATTGTGATGTATGGTTACTTTTGCAATTATTACGAGTTTTAAAGTTTCAGTTCTTATTACGAATTTTTTGATGAAATTAATTGCTTTGGGTTTTTGTAGCTTCCATTTGAACATTAATATAGATTTATTTAGGATGCATATTAGTTGCTTGATAAAATCCCTGAACAAAAAAAAAAAACTTTGGAAACTTTCATTACCATCTGCAAATTTTTGACTAAAATACCCCTTTATCATTTGATCAAAATCGCTGAAGAAAAAGAAAAGAAATAAAGAAAATAGTGAGGGAGGTGATCATGAAGGCATTCCACATGATAATGCAGGTGAAGATAATGCCAACCAACAAAATGGTACGCACTTGCAAGCTTTGACTAATTTAATAAGCCCCTGTTTCTTTTTTTCCCCATTAAGGCATTGTTTCATTTGTATGGCTACATTACATAATATAATATATCTTTAAGTCTTGGTAGATAATCTGGAAGGTGTAAATTCTCCAAAGAAGAAGAAAAAAAGCTGCAATAAAAAAAAGGAAAGACATGGAGACGACTGAAGTTGTTGTCCCCACTACTCCAGATGATAGAACACATTGAGAAAAAAAAGAAAAAAGAACGAAAATATGTGTGATTACAAAAAGCATTACTCATTTTTGGATTAGTGATCTGGAATTATGGTGTGGCTTAAGTAATGCATGTGTGTTAAATTTTTATGGCAGATTTACTATATTATTATTATAGTTGTTGAGATATGTGTGATTACAAAAAGCATTACATTAGCAAAACAGTCAGACATACATTTTTTTTTCGATGTATAATATAATAGCTATATGTATACCCATTGCATTGACATGATTTATGTTTTATCTGCTACCTAAAATTGTTGTTTAGTATGCTATCCGTAAAATTTAACCCAAATTGACCACTAATTTCCAGATAAAAAGTATGGTTTTGTACTACTTGTATATGTTTTTTAAAAAGTATCATGCATATGAACAATAAGATCATCATGTTGTTTTTTAATCACTTCTTTTCACTTAACAGGTTTTGTGGATGCTTTAAGTATTCCAATAACCTGTTTGCTAAAACCTGATTGATTTATGCATGTATCATCCTCTTTCATAACTTTTCAATTCTATAGTTGTAATATTCATGTTTCTGTTGTTACTTCAACTGTATTCTTTTTCTTGCGAGATTGAGTTTACATCATCAAATTCATCATCACAAATTAATCTGCCAACATCTATTACAGCAGGTAATCAATCCTTTTTGTTTTGAATGATTACATAGTAGTATATATACTTTTTTTTGGTTTCTCCTTAAAGTAATATAAATATAAGTAATTAACACCGTTTATAAATTACTATTATTTTATTTGCAGTAAATGTTTTGATTTCAACCGGTTTAACAAACATAGTGTTTGAACCGAAGATGTTGGAAGCAGCTAACATCAGAGATATGCCAAGGCGAATTTTTAATTTCGTCTGAGATATTTTGTGGAAGTTTATTTTAACTCTGGTGGGATTTTCATATCCAAAAACTACAAAAATTGAAGCATATTCTATTGAACTGATTCATTATTTCACTTTAATGCATGTAATTTCGTTTGAGATATTATGTCTTTACTTATATAATGCATGTCAATTACAAGGGTAGTGTTGTCTTCTTATTTTTTTTCTTTCGTAATCAACATTATTTTTCATTAATTGTATGAAGGGTATTAAAGGTATAAGTTTAATTTTCTGTTTTTTGGTTATAACTAGTACTTCCTATAACGATGAGGTTGCAGGAGCAACTTGGGAAGTATAACCACAAAAAATAATTACCATTTTACCCTTAAGAAGTAAAATTTGACAATAATATTATGGAATGACATTAATACAACAAATCCATTAAACTACAAACAAAACCAATGATAAGTTATCAATTTACCCTTTATAAGTACAACTTGACAATAATACCCATGGAATAACATTAATACATTAGATGCTATTAAACTACAAATATTGAAGTACCATTTTTGCCCATATAAACACACTCAAATTTCACTCATGTAAAAAATGACCAACACTTTTAACAACGTACCTATATACAGACTTGTGACATGGGTCTTTTCGTCATTTGTTTATATTTCATCAGAAATGGCTGTATATCACCACAATCAATCACACATGACTTAGATCAATTTTTTTATGTACTGTGATAGATTAATTCTGTATACAATTCTACTGTTGTAAATTACATGTTCTGATGTATTTAAAATGAAATAGCATCCTACTTTCATTTGTTTCTACTTTCGTCCCCGAAAACAATATTCGTTTTTTATATAATAATATATATAATATGATATAAAATAATAAAAGAACATAATAAAAAAATGTATAATTATCTAATAATCTGTTTTGTTTGAATTTATCTAGACTTGAATTATGGGATTATATCGTACAATCTACAATTTATGGTTTTGTTTTATATATTTAATTTTAAATACATGATCAAATAACATAATTATCTTTAATCAAACATAAGTCAGACTGATCTACCCTCTAAAATTTGCCACGATTAGATCATACTTACTATATTTAATTGTTGACTTTTACGTTCAATTTTAAATACAATATCTTATGCCATAATTATCTATAATCAATCATAAGTGAAACGTATCTACTCCCTAAATTATGCCACTTATATAATATCTTATCTAAATTTAACGACCGAGTTTTAGGAAATCAAATTTAAATTCATTTTATTATACCAAAAATAGATTTAATCGACCATAATATGCTTAAACATATCCTTAGTAAATAATACTAATTTATTCCATATATTTAGCATACAAGTCGTTTAACTTGGTAAAGATTAGCATGATCTTTAATTTTTAAAAATATATTCAATATTCCATTTATCAACTTTTTGTTAGGCTTAAATTATGGAATTATATCGTATAATATATTCAATATTATCTTTAACTTAGTAAAGATTAGCATTATCTTTAATTTTTAAAAATATATTCAATATTCAATTTATCAACTTTTTGTTAGACTTAAATTATGGGATTATATCGTATAGTATATTCAATATTATCTTTAACTTGGTAAAGATTAAGATGATCTTTAATTTTTAAAACTATATTCAATATTCCATTCATAACAAATTTATGAATGTATTAGTTTTTTGGAATGAAATCGTCCCAATAATAATTGTCGATCTTAATTTATTTACAATGTATATATAATAACCGAGATTTCATTCATTCTATCTCTCTCTACACATTCAAGAATTCTGTGCATTTGTTCTAAGATCGAAAACAGATATTTTTTTCTTTTAACTAATTCATACCAACTATGTTTAAATGTCTATTGAATGATTATATGATAAGTGTTCATACTCTACTCATATGTGACGATGAAGGTCGTTCAACTAATAAAACAAAAAACATTGTCTACAAAGAGGTACTGCAACGTTTATAGATATGTATCGATTTCAGTATTTCTTCTTCACATTACAAAGAGGTACCAACAATATTTGGGCTTGATTATGCTTCGCATGAACCCAAATGATACTCTCTATAAGCCGAAGTAGAAACTCTCCATCGGCCGCGCCAGCCGATGAGCCGATATCATTTGGCGCGAAAAAATAAGCTGCAAGAAGTTAGGGTTTCGTATTCGCCCCGAAAATTCTAAAGCAATTTGAATTTAATCAACTTTATACCTACGCTTTATCTCTGTTTGATCAGCAAAAATGGCTTCGAAGCGACCGCGTTCGACGGAAAGCGACGAACAAGTAGTACATCAATGTGCCCCTATGATCAGAAGAGCTGAAAGCTCGTCGGTGAAGTTCAATAATTATAATCATAATCCGCCGGTGGTCGTCTTTGCTCATGGAGCTGGTGCTCCTTCAACTTCCGAGTGGATGACTAGGTCTTTTTGAACTTTTTGCTTTTGCTATATATGCATATGTCTTCACACAAATTTACGTGACTTAGTTACATTTTCTGTGTGTTATGCTAATTTTGCTAAATCAGTTCAAAATCGGACACTGCAGGCTTCGGCTAAATTAGGATCCTTTAGGGTGGCCTTTCTGTATAATGCACATCAATTAGATTATAGGGCTGGCTAGTGGTGAGTAGCTGGGAATTATGTCCAATGTGTTGTAATGCATGGTTCGACTCCAGCTACATGCCGTCAGTTTCCATGAGTGCACACTTACAGATCGGAAGTCTGAGCGCGCCTAAAATTTGTCTGTACATATTGGGGGCTTTTAATAATCGGATCCCATAGGATTAGTTTGATTTTTGTAGTCAAAAGTATACTAATCATGGACATACTATCATTTGAACATTGCAATTTGAAATGCTAATTTCATTAGAGATCTACAAGGGCCAATGGGCAAAGGCATGTTTACTCAGGTCTTCATTTTTGCTTACCTTAAGATTTCTATCGAACCTCAGGCATGAGTTTTATGCAGATGGAGGACCTTGTTGGCCAATGCTTTAAATCCTGTCGAAGTTGTAACTTTTGACTACCCATGTGAGTTATTAGTAGTTTAATCCATTTACATCTCTCTCTAATTCTGATACCCTTTTGCAGTATGAAGTTATGCATTTAAGCTTTTCATATACACTTGATCTGAAATTCATGCACAGTGCTATGATAACTGATTAAGACTTCTTGCAGACATTTCTGGTCGAAGAAAGGCTGCACCAGATGCAGAAAAGCTTGTTGGGTTTCACTTGGAATTTGTGAGAAAGGTTGCTGCCAAATACCCAGAACACCCTTTGATCTTAATAGGAAAATCCTTGGGTTCAAGGTAATGATAACTGAACTTGAAAATGATGGAGTATATGAAAAGTGCATCTAAAACTTTCAATTAGGAAGCATTCCTCTAATGTCATTATGGATAAAGAAGAGTTTCTTTAATTTCCATGCAGAGTCAGTTGTATGGTAGCTGCTGAAAATGATATCGGGGCACTAGCTGTAGTTTGTTTGGGATACCCACTAAAGGTTTCCTACTAAAAATCCTTCATTTATTTGTTTGGATGTCTAATATTGCATTTTCTTTTAAATCCAGACCTACAAGTTTTGCTCCATAACAGATTCTCAATAAAACAAAAAAAAAATGCAAAATGCTGACATTGTTGTAGACCACTTGTAAAATAGTATTTGAAAAGATTGATAATGTTGCAGGCCAAAAATGGAGCCATTCGAGACGAAACCCTCATGAAACTTACAGCTCCTATCATGTTTGTACAGGTAAAACAAAAATGGAACTATTCAAAAAAAACTATCGTAATATCTTTATTTTTGAAATTTGATACTTAGCATGAAGGTTTGGTTTTTATTCTTGTGTGATGTAGGGAAGCAATGATAATTTCTGTCCACTGAAACTTTTGGAAGTGGTTAGGCAGAAGCTGAAATCTTTAAATGATTTGCATGTGATTGAACATGGTGACCACTCATTCCAAATTGCAAAAAAGAATCTTGAGTCAACTGGAATGACTCATGAAGAAGCTGAACAACGTGCTGCTGAATCCATTGCAATGTTTGTTTCACGAATCAAGAATGAAAAAGTGATCACTGGACCCACAGTAAGTCTGTATGAGTAACAGTTTCTATATAACATCATCATCACAACCATAATTAATTTCCCTAATGAATATTTATAACTCATATTATTACCAAGTTCTGTTATATTGTTAATTTATCATTTATTAAAGTAGATAACAACACATAGGAAAGATAGTAGTAGTAGTTGTTATTGTTACACACTTAGAGATGTTTTTTGACATGAGCATCATTGTCATTGTCACTATCACTGCTGCTGCTGCTGCTACTGTTTCCATCTCTTTTGCAATTGCAGTTGTTTTCCTTCTTTTTTGAGTGTTTCTCTTTCTTCTTGAGATCACCTATCTTAGGTATGCAGTTGGTCATGGTCCCTTCCTTCTTTTTTCCTCCTGCCGCCTGTTTTGGGGCGGCGTTTGGCGGCTGATCATGGTGGTGCATCTGGTCAGCCACCTTCTTGTAAGCCGAATTTGCCATTCCTTTTGCCGAATTTGCCATCACTTTGACTTTGTTGGTGAAAGAGTGTTCATTCTCTTTAGTTTGGCAGCAGGAGCAGGTGTGGTTACATTTGTTCTGGGTAGGGGCATTTTGGGGATTGTTTTTGGTGGGGCCAACTGGTTTTTGGTGGTGGTTCTGGGCATGGGTGTGGTCAACTGGTCTTTGGCATTGGATTGAAGCCATTAGTGTTTTTTTTTTTAATGGCTTGAATCTTGATTGATTGCTCACTCACACACATGGAAACACACAGTGGCATATGTATTTATATAGTGATATCTGCAATGGGAATTGGATTCCCATTTTGCAAAACTGGAATTGGATTCTTAATTTTCTATTTTTGTTAGTTAGTGCCTTACAGTAGTGTTTGCATACATGGTTTGATTCTTTCGTCATCTTAGGGTGATTTAAAGATTTGGGGTTTTTGGTAGCCACAGATGTTATATTATATAATATAATTAGTGGTGTGTATGGAATTGCAACCTCTCTAGGGACAATGGAAGCAAACAACGTAAATTTGGCAGAAAGTGGCATAAAAAACAACCAGCCAAAATACTGAAGAAGATAAACTTGAATATGTGGCTAAAAATTGGAGCCACAAGTGCCAAATATTAAAAAAAAAACAATACATGAAAAAAGTTAATTGGGATTGCCATTTGTGTAATTCTATGATATCTTCGAGGTTGATTTTTGGCATCAAAGTTTGAACCACGATCTCAAGTGTTGATTGAGTGTATGAATAGCAGAGAAAGTCAACAATTTGAATACGAAAAACATATAATACAACCTAAAATTTGTGCAAACACAAAGACTCAACATGGCACTAACTCACAACATTTTTATAGAACACATGTGAACTAGAAGTTGATGCAATTCAATTTGGTCAAGAAAGGGAAAATGTTGAAGAGGAACAACAAGTTGATTATGAAGAAAACCAAAATGTTGAAACTCATATTTTCGTAAGTGCGATTAAATTTATTATTTGTTGGTCAAGATATCATTTTCTAAAATTAGTTCACAATGTTAATTACATGTCTACAGATGAATAGGAAGAAGTCAGAGATGATACTGAAAAAGAGGCACAAGTCCGAAAGGATATTAAAATTGAAGCTTAGTAAACATATATATGATAAAGATGGGAGAGGGTCAACAATCGAGAAAGCAATAGCTTTAGACTAGTCTAGCGTTTTGTATCATATGGATACATGTAGAGTAGATGAACATATAATTTCAGCATCTTCATACAACATTGGCATAGATTTAGGGGCTTTTTGGTAACGTGCGTTGATTTATGGGGATTGTTTATGCAAAACACATGACAGTGGTAGTTGTAAACTTATATATTAATGTCGAATGTTTATTTTATATAAGGATTCAAAAATTTTCAACAGTGAAACATAACCGAAGTTAGTTATTGATGGATATATATTTTTTTTCAACTATGTTGTCATAGCAACGATATTGGTCATGTCATCAAAGTTAACAGTTAGAAATGAGAGAAAAACATAACAACGGTAAAAATCGGGAATACAAAGAACAAATTGAATTTATATCCTCATAAGGAGTTGTTAGAATATTGTGTAGGTATATGATCTTGTAGGGATGGTTTGTTTAAGAAAAAGAATAACTTTTTTGGGGTATGGCTCACCCAATATCATTGCAATACCCACTTTTTACATGTATACATTTTATTCTGCCACTAGCCAAGATCATATGTCAAATACCTACAAACGTTCAAAAGAAAATAAGATATTAAATTATTTTTGGGACTGAATGTGTTGAATAGGGTTTTAGGATAAAAATCGATCTTTTTTAGATGTATATGTGAGGATGTATGTGTTGATGAACACACTTGTTCGGAAAAACAATTGCACTCCAAGAAAAAGGTATTGGGTTATTTATCGAAGTAGGTAATGTTTGATAACAACATTTGAATTTGGGCAAAAACTATGTGCTAGAAAATTTGAGGGGAACATAAGATTCATTTTCCAGGCTTATTGTCATAATTTGAACAAGGCAAAATCTCAGCATGTGGCAAACATTCAAATGGATGATTACGATTGTTTTGAGTACTTTTACATCAATACTTGTCATTGTAACAATAATCACTCACGAATTTGGTCATTGATCACAATATATCGAGCCTACATGTGGGGAAATACTTGCGGATGGACTTGGTACAACCCAAGGTCATTAGAAAACATTATGGGCCATTTTTGTAAATACTCTAAAAACTGATTTAAGATTCAAGAACAAATTAATGACACTATTGGTTTGGGTAAAAATTGTACGCTGAGCCTCTTAACTTTATTTTATTATTATTATTATTATTTTTGCACTAGGACCATCCCTAACATATTTTTTTATTGCGTTTTTCGTCCCTTGTAGAGATAATTTTTTTTTTTTGAGAGTTCTTGATTATTACCACTTAAAAATTAATACTTTTAATGAAACCATTATTTTGATAAATTTTCAACAATTCTGATGAAAATTCTATTCGGGTGACACGATAAATGAAAGCAAACCACAAAAAATTGATTGGTCCAATTACTTGAGAGTAAAAAAGCTAATTTGGATGATAGATGTTCAACAGAACAAGTTGAACATGATAGGCCACATTAGTGCTAGTTATCGTTGTTAGGGATGTCTGCTGCATTCTTGTTATACTCCTCCATATCCTTCTTGTAAGCTTCCATGGCTTCTGCAGCCTCACCATTCCGTTTCTGCTTATCTTCTTCTCCCAATTCCTTCCACTTCACGGAAATCAGAGCAGTCAGTTGGGAATTGCTCATTCCTGCCTTTTCTTTTGACAAATCCTTCCTTGCTTCTTTGCTGATGCATGTTAAACAACACATGATTATCGAATTTGAATTGAGTAACTTATTTTGCTTCAAATCTCGAAATGGGTATCTAAAAATTTACATTGTGCTTCGAATCTTGAAATGGATATAAAAGAAGTTACCTGAAAAGAAGGAAAGAAGATGGAGGACGCTTTGGCTTGTTAGGATCAACCGTCTTCTTGTTCTTCTTCTCTTCCTTTGTTTTCTAAAAAAAAAAAAAAACAAGGCCCAATTAATCAAACGCCCAAACCAACTCAAAAGTAACAGCAAAAGCTAGGGGACACAAACACCAAACCTTAATGATGGTTTCTGTTTTCTCTTTCTTTTTAAGCAATTGTAAAGCTTCCTGCTTTAGAACCTTCAAAAGCTCATCTTCTTCCTTCTTAGCATTTTCAACTTCCTCTTCTTTATTCTGCTTGTACACCTCCATTTCTTGTGTATATTGCTTGTTCTTCTTCTTCGCCACTTTTTCATACCCTGCTTTTTGCTTGTCTGTCATGTTCTTCCATTCTTCTCCACAGATTTTAGCAATCTACCACCACCAAAATATGAACCAAACTCATTATTAATTAGTTCATTATAAAAGAACACACATTTTTTACTAAATTGATCTTTAAACTCAAATTACCTCCACCATACTCTTGCCTTCTGCAATCAGAGCAGCTCTTTTCTCTTTCATAAACAAGAAATACGCAGACTCTGGTCGCTTTGGCTTCAATGGATCTTTCTCCTTCCTGTATGCAGAAAAAGAAAATCCATAAACCATAGTAATGTTCAAGAACTTGATTCTTGGAAAGGGTTACCAAAAAACTGACTTTTGCTTCAAATCTTGAAAAGTTTTTTTAATAAATCTTGAAAGGGGGTGTCAACGAACTTGATTTTTGGTTCAAATCTTGAAAAGGGTATCAAAGGACTTGATTTTTGCTTCAAATAGTAAATAGATAATTACTTGTTCTTTTTGTTATCTCCCTCTTTCTCTGCTTCTTGTTTGAACTGCAGGTATTGTTCAAGCAACTCCATAGCTGTCTTCTGTTTCTGTTCTTCTTCCAAAAGCTTCATAGCTTCACTTTCTCTTTTCTCATTATCCACAATTTTTGAATAAGCTACCTTCTCAATTTGATACTTCTCTTCGTACGGCTTCTTCTCTTCGGGGGTGAGTGTCTTCCATTTCGCCCCCAAAATGTTTGCGACTTCACTGAACTCTGCTTCTGGATTTTCTTTCTTGACCTGTAAAAATCATAAAAACCCCATGATGTTATCAATTTATCGAAGCTTAGAGGCCTTACCAACAAAATATAAGATGAAATTAAAGAAAAAGGATTGTTGCTTGCCTCAGTCCAATGATCTTTACACCACATGATGTAGGGAGTTGCTGGCTTTTTAGTATCTGTGGAACCTTTCTTCTTCTTCTTCACTTGATCTTTGTCTTTCGACGAGTGCAAAATGGGCAGTGTCTGAGAACAAATCATCAAGAACTTTCATAAGTGGTGATCAAGTTTCTCAAAGACTATTAACCAAGAATCAAGCACACAGATTATTAAAGATGTGATGAAAAAAATATATGCAAAAACCCTATTTCTACGTTTCACAACAGTACTCATTCAAGATTTAACCCTAGTTTCAGAATCAAGAGCTTTCAAAATCAAGAATCAACGCACAGGCTTTATTATAAATGTAGAACAGATAATCAAGAACCTAATTCTGAATTTCCCAGTAATTCGCAATGCAAGATGCAAACCCTAGTGCCAGGATCAAGTACTTCCGTAGATTATATAAACTTTCGCAAACTTAAAATCGAGATTTTGCATGCAGAAAATAATGTATTCTCGTGGTTGAAATCACTTATTTATCGAAAACCCTGATTAATGGAAGTTTCAGAAAAGTTAATGACATACCATGGTGGGTTTGAATTCTTTCAACTTCTTCAACTTCTTGAGCTCCATTTTAACTTTCTCTTGCTCTCTATTATGTGACTCGAGTTCTTGCTCCTTCAGTTTCAAAAGATCCTCTGCTTGTTGCTTCTCAAGCGTCATCTTTTGAAGTTTCTCTTGCATTTCCTGCAACTCTTTCTCAAATGAAGCTGATGCTGCTTCGGGTTTCGGATGATTTTTCCCTTTTCCTGATTTCTTGATCTTTGGAGATTTGTGTTGAGAAAGGCTGTCGGAGTTCTCTTTTCCGGCAAAGATGTGATCAAACGCCAATGGTGGCTGAGATATAGCTCCAGCGACAATGTTAGATTCATTCTGTGAAGAGTTTTTGGGGTGCAGTGGCTTTCTGGTTCTCTTCTTTGTCGGAATAACGATGGGAATCGCGGTGGCGACGTCGGCCATTTGGGTATTTGATTTTGCAGTGTAAAGAGGAGGATCTTTTGTTGGTTTGTGCACTGTGTAGTGATCGAGGGATTTATGGTGACTTTCTAACGGTTATCTTTTGGAATTCGGAATGATTTGCCTAAATTTGAAAATCTTACCGTTGAACAACTTTCCATATCCGGTTAATAATTTAATGTCCAAAAAGAAGAATAATTTGAAAATTTTAGCGTTGAGGAACTTTTCATTTAATAAGGTTCAATTAAAAAAAAAAAAACTATCCCAAAAGCTTAACCATTGGAGGGTTCAATTAATTATTTTTGACATTCTAATTTTTTAACTTAAATTTTTATATAGACATAACGGATAAACGAACAAAAAATAATTGATAATTTGATATGTCTATTTTAAATTGATATGTCCAGTCATCAATAATTTAATATGCCCAGAAACCAATACTTCTAGAGATTCAAAATCATTATAGTTTCCATTACACTCAAATCAGTTGTGTTATTACATAAACTTTCTACATACTTTTTGGCTTTTGCTATTAAATATTTTCCTGGATTTTCATTTCAACACATTCACGTATTCCCTTGGTATTTTTACGTAACCAAGACAGCAAAAAAAAAAAAAAAAAAATGAAAATTTGGTTTTTGTATCAAACTGGAATCCCTCCAACATCAATCATCTACCACCAACTTCATCAACAAATCATTCCACTGATCAATTGGTCCAGGCAAACACCAATGCAAACAATCATACTGAACTTTAGCTTTCTTATCTTTTGCAAAAGGGTAAAAATATCTATACGGACCTGGATGCCCATCGGGTCTCACCAACGAAAGAGGCATCACATCAAGAAGCTTCAATTTCTTCCCTTTTTCAGAAGCTGGAGCTTCTGCTTTTGTAAATTCAGGCAATTCAACCTCTCGTAGGATTCTGTTCAATATTCCCAACTCAAACTCACCTTCTTTAGCTGGCACCCTTCTATCACAAGTCCCGCCATTTGACCATGGCCCATTTTCAAAGTGATCCGGGGTTGATGTTCTGAAAATAATCGTACTCTGTTTGTTTGAATTCAAAATGAAATCAAAAAGATTATTTATGACTTTCTGGTAAGCAAAATTGAAACCAAGATCAGTGTAGTTCTTTCCCTCACAGCCATGGCAGCCGAGAATGGTATTGTTTTCATAGTAGATCGCTGTTCTTACAAACCATTTACCAGAGGAGAACAAAACGTAATCCCATGTGTCAAATTGTTGGGTCCAGGTTTTGTCAAGAATGTCAACGTGGAGTTGTATTTCAGAGGACGGAATATGATTTATATCTTCAAAAGTCTCGGCTTTTGCAAGAAAAGGAGACCAGATAACCGATACTGTAAGATTGTACGATGGAAAATGCCATTTCCGGTTTTTGTAATCTTTATCATGGAAAAGTTCAACGGCATCTTCTACCTGATTAAAGGAGACAAGATACAGAAACTTACACCAGAGACCATAACTGTTCATATGAAACCATATAATAAACTTGTTCTTGATTTCAAAACTAAATATCAAGAAAGCTTTACCTGAGACAGAAGACAAATGAAGGATTGAAGATGATTCCGAGTTATGGAGTCGCCAACAAAACCCCACGTTTTACCTCTCATCATTTCAAGAAATTTCTTGGCATCAAAAGGAGGCAATTCACAAGCTTTGGGACTCCACCTCCAGTGAAGATAACCGGTATCCGGCCTACCATTAGACATACAGTTTTGATCACTTTCAATCCATCTGCAGGTGTTATTGGTGTATGGCGCTCCTCCCAAATTCGGTATCCATTCACCATGGAAAATATCACACTTTTCTGATTCATCATCGTCTTCGCAACAATTTCCAGGAAACACATTCAGTTCCAGAAAGTTTGTATTTTTTTCAAAAAACACGTTTAATGTATGAATATGGTTGAGCATGAACAGATATCTGCATCCAGATTTATTCTGGGGTATGATATTATTGTATGTTTACTAAAAATACGAGCCTTGTATTTATTACATTAATATCTACAAATCTTAGCCCGTGACCATTGCAGGAACTGAATACAAGTAATTGTAGATCGAAACTACAGAAAACTAAAATCTCGATTCAAATCCATAATAGAAAATGAATGACAATATACAAGTACGAAATGGATACCTTTAGGATAACTTTGGTTTAAAACCTTGGGAGATTCAGCAAAATCTGAAGGAATCGGCTTTTCATTCTTCGTCACAAAAGGAGTACCAAGATTATTATCAGAAACATTGGGAATCACACTGGACGATTGTGATAAATGAAATCTGAATCCAAAACCCACTAACAACATCAAAATCCCCAACTTGAAAACCCAGTGATTATAAGCTGACCTCCACCAATTTTGCTTCATTACAGCTTCACTCAGTTTCTTTTACAGTCAATTTCCCCACAAATTAAGGAAGCTTATATATTTAAGAGGGGCGACCAACATTCTTTCCCTTGACCAAAAAACAAAAACTACTTAATTGATGTATATAGACTATTAAAAAGTTCTTTTATTTTCAACTTTTACTAAAACTAAGAGTAGATTGTCACTTTTGGTCCATGGTTTACATCTGTTTAAAATTTAGTCAAACTTAAATTGCAAAAATGGCCCATGTGGTTGTCAAAATTATATGGTTTTGGTCCAAAAAAATTTGGTGGTGCAATAGTGGTCCAATTTTAGATAGTTTGTGTGGTTTTGGCCCCTATGGTTGCCATTTTTGTGTGATTTTAGTCTATACCCTACTTGAAATGACAAATATACCCTTAAGTGATTTTTTTTTAAATTTCTTTTAATTGTATTCTTATTATTTAATTTAAAAATAAATAAAAAGTAAAAATCTCATCACTCATAAAGACACTAAACCTCACTCACACACACACACACTCTCTCTCTCTCTCTCATTTTGTCATAAACTAGAAGAAACACACACACAACACACACCAACCATTTCCTGACCAGAAGCCTTAAAGTCCATTTTCATCGTCTTCACCGTCTTCATCTTTCAAGCAAACAGTACATCGATAATCATACTCCACTGCAACTTTCTACAAAAGAGGCTCATGGATTGGTTACGGCTCAGTAACCACCATCATCACACAAACCACCAAATCGACCACCATCTCCACCCCCTGGTCTTTATCTCGCCATCACAGACCCACCATCATCTCTTAAGATACCTTCATCAGCCATTAAAATCTGCAAATTAATTACATTTGCCAAACTCCAACCTTTCTAAAACCTTCCCACATACAAATCAAAGTCAAGACCATTGTGACATCAAAGCTACAAACATACTTTTGGATTCAAACATGAGAGCTCGACTTACATATTTTGGGTTAGCCAAGCAAAGTAGAGAAGGTCAGTCTCATCTAACCACTAGAGTCGTCGGAACCCATGGCTATTTAGCGTCGGGATAAAAGCCATGGATTTGTCTAACATTTCTTGGTTACGATGCCTTTGTCTTTCAATTATATGGGTTTTCAGCCGCCACGACCACCTTCATAAGAGTTTTTAGATCTCCTAGCGTCGCCAACATTCTTATTTTTTTGAAACCCTAGTGTCGCCGCCCTTCCATCTTGATGAGGGTTTTGGTTCGATCTTTGGTTAAGGTTCTCCACAGGGATGTGATGGTACTTGGTGGGGATAACCATCGATGGAGATTTCCGAAACCCTAGCGCCGCTGACCTGTTGTTTAAACCCGTCGATCTGTTTGATTTAGTCGAGGACGAGATTCAAACTCAAGTCTTCATGGATGGTGAGAAGATGGTGGAGCTTGACGAATGGTGGTGGTGGAGGGTTATCGGGTTAAGGAAGGAGAGGTGAGGGTGAAAGTGAGGGAGATGGAGGTGGTTGACAGCGAGTGGTGGTGGAGAACGACGATGGTGGCGGCGAACGACGATGGTGTCAGTTGGATGGTGGGTGTTATTGAAAGGGTTTAACTATGTATGAAAGAGAGAGAGAGAGAGAGAGAGAGTGAGAGATAGAGAAAGGGGGAGAGAGAAAGGGAGAGAGAGATAGATAAAGAGAGAGAAAAGATATGGGTGTTTGTATTTTCAGTTATTTAAAAACATTAATATAAATACAAAAAAATTAAAAAAAAAAACAAATTTAAAAGACATAATAGACTTTTCAAATTAATAGAGACCAAAAACAATAAAAAGATTCAATTTTAGACCATTGGTGCATCGTCAAAACGTTTTGGATCAAAACCACATAAAATTGCCAACCACAGAGACCATTTTTGCAATTTTGTTATTTTAACATGGTTTTACACAGCCAATCATATATTAAAAACAAAATAAAATAAAATTGACCCTACAATTTAAATGTTCCTAACATTAATATCATTTAAGATGTTCAGTCACATGCTTGTAAAATGACAATTTACCCTAATTTTTTTTTCTTATTTTAACAGAACTTTTATATAATTTAAGATTTTAAATTATTATGGACCCCACTTAGGGGTCGTTTGATATGACATCTAACTGGGTCCAAAGCGGGACTGGGTCCAAAAAATACCAATTGGCATGTTTGATAGGGATAGGAATGGGACCAACATGTGGACTCGGTCCAATAAAAACATAGGACTCGGTCCTTGCTTTCAACTAGATGGACCGAGAAAAATAGAACCCAAAAAAAAAAAACGTTGCTGCCCTACATATTGTTACGAGGTTTTGATTTCTTCCTTTCCCCCGTTAACCTCCTATCGACGAAGCCAGAAGCTTTTCCCTTATCGATCAAAAGCATTGCAGCGGTCATCATCCACAGCAATAGCCTCGGTGATCAATAGCAACGCATCAATAAGTTTGTTTTTTTTTTTATCGTTGTTTTTCTGTGTTCATAGTCAGGGGCATAACTGTCCATATCTTGATAAATTTTTCTGCATGTAATTTCTGTCAATACCCCATAATCAGGGGCAAATTTGTCCATAATTGTCCATATATTTTTGTGGTATTGTATCTCCTTGAGCTGGCAAGGATGTAACTCGCAGTCATGAATTCTTGAAGTTTGAATGTCAAGTTTTCATGAATTCTTGAAGCTGTGTCACTGTCATCTTTTTTATATCATTTGGTAGTGAAAATCTGGCATTTAGAACTATGGATTCTATTTTAAACCTGACTACTCAGCTTTTGATTGAACAATCATGTTTCTTTTTCTTGCTGTTTATGTTTGTCTGTTTTTTAATATGTTACCCAACTCTATGTCAAAACCCTTTATTCACATATTGCTTGTGCCTAGTTTCCTCTTTGTTTCATATCATAAAAGGAAACCACTTCATGCATAAAGCTTAAATTACATAAATGCATCTTATATCTTAAGAGCCGAATGATTTCATGTAAGCAACTGTGTACAATGCATAACAATATTGTAAAGTTTTAGCAAAATTATAAATTTGATAATTAGAAAAAAAAAATTCAAATTTATGATATTTTCGTATTCTTTGAAAAAAATTCTCCTTTATAAAAAATAACAAGACACTAATTTACTTCTTAAATTTTTATACTAAAAAACTAAATGTGTATATGTATATATATTTGTATATATGTGTGCAAAATTGTGTGTATATTGGTGTATATATTTGTGTAACGTCTTTTTGTATATGTACATATATTTGTGTTTATGTGTGCATATATGTGTATATATTTGTGTAACCTGTTTATCATTTATTCCTTAGACATGGCAGAAAAGTGAAATAGAGCTAGTTGGTCTTCGGATTTTGTGAACAAAACTTTTCTTAATGCATGTATCGAAGAACTAACAAGTAACGGTAGGGAGGGTAGTGGTCTCAAAGGTACCTCATGGAATACAATAGCTGAAAAACTAAAAAAAGACATGACTTTGTTGTTGAGAAAAAACAAATGAAATATCGTTATGACTACTTGAAAAGCAAGTATTCAGTTTGGTTGAAATTAAAAAACAAAACTGGGAATCTCTATAATCCTGTTACAAACACGTTTCAAATGACGGATGAAGAGTGGAAAGCGGAGGCAAAGGTAATCTTTTAATTTAAAACACATTATTATTTTTTCAAAAGTTTAATAATAAAATCATTTTTTCAAACAGTCAAACAAGATGGTTGAGAAATTAAGAAATGCACCCCTCCTTTACCCTAATCTATGCGCCCAGTTGTTTGACGGTGCAACCTCGACCGGTGCTGCTAGTTGGGGACCATCTTCGACACTCCCTCATCCTGCAGAAGTCTTTACTACACAAGATTATGACGATATTGAGATGGTAGATACTCCACCTCAAATGGATATCCCAGCCTCAACTTCAACAGTACCCCCACCTACAAGTGCATCACATGCAAGTGGAGATTCGTCTGCTTGGTTTAAAAATAAAAGAGGAAAACGAAATGCACCCACGGACACACTGGATGATGACATAAGAGAGGTTGGCAAGGAAATTATGAAGGCGGCTCAGGCGTTCGCGCAAACTAATAATCTTGATAAGGAGATGGATGAATGTATTGAAAAATTGAAAGGCTTGGAGTGGGGAAATTCTGATCCGAAGTACATCACTGCACTTATGTTGTTCGCTGAAAATCCTGGTAACAGGAAAATTTGGTTACGCCTCGAGTCTTCGACTTGTGAGTTGTGGGTGAAAAGTGCGGGAAAGAATTTTGGATTACTTGGTTGACTTTAGTATGACTTTAGGGTGTTTTTGTCTTTATGCTTTATGGATTTATATTATGGTACATGGTATGGATTTTTATGTGTAGGGTTGTTATGTGTTATGTTTAGGATTTTTAAGTTTAGGTTGTTTATGTGTTATGTTTAGGATTGTTAATTGGTATTGACTTTTTTGTTATGGATTTTTATGTTATGGATTTTTATTTTATGGAGTTATATGCCATCCATTTTAATGTTATTGATTAATTTTATGGTTTATGTTATAAAACTTATGTGATTTGTATTAACATGTAACAGGTTACATATGGATAAGGAAGGTGAGTTTTTAGGTTTCCTTATACTCTCATGCTATTGGTTGATGTTGGTTCGAAAAAGAAAAAAAAAAGAATTGAAAGAATAAAAGCTAATGAATCGGAAGAAACTGGGCATGCATATACACAAGATTTGATACACGGAGATCCTATATAATGTTTTGATATGATACGTCTTTCACAAGATGGATTTGTATTATTATGCAATCATTTTACTCAAAGAAATTGGTTGCAACATAGTAGGACAATAAGCGTTGAAGAGAAGATGACTATATTTTTACATGTTATAGGACATAATGAACATTTTCGAGCTGTTAAAGAAAGATTTCACCACTCCATACAAACGATTCATCAATGTTTTCATGAAGTGCTAAAAGCAATGATGTGTTTTGCAAGAGAAATTATTGTACCAACATCTTCTAATACAACAAGAAATACCTCGGAACGTTATAGACGGCTAAAAAACATATTTCCTGGAGCATTAGGTGCACTAGATGGAACACTTGTACATGCAGTTGTGCCCGTTGATGAACAAACTCACTATAGGGGAAGAGGAAAATGTGAATGTTATCAAAATGTAATCGGAATTTGTGATTTTGATATGATATTCACCTTTGTATGGGCTGGATGGGAGGGCATAGCACACGATTCTAAAGTTTTGAAAGAAGTTGCATTTAATCCGACTTCTGGATTTCCATTCCCTCCACCAGGTTTGTCATTTTTCTATAAGTTTTATTATCTATATTATTTATATGATTAATTTGTCACCCATCTACAGATAAATATTACCTTTGTGATGCCGCATACACCAACACCCGTGGATTTATGGCTCCTTACCGCAATACTAGGTATTGGTTAGCTGATTTTCGAAGAAACAGAGCTTTAACTAAGGAAGAAAGGTTCAATCATGCTCATGCACAACTTAGAAATTTCATTGAACGTGCTTATGGTGTATTGAAGGCGAGATTTCCAATTTTAAAACGTATGGCTCCTTATCCTTTTCCAGTGCAAAGAGACATAGTCATTGCCTGTGTCGCGGTCCATAATTTTATAAAGAAGTACGATATTGAAGATGACCTATTTACGAACTTTGAACAAAACACTATGGTTACTCCTAATGTGGGAGGTGGAGGAAGTGAGGGCCAAAACATACAAGGCATAGAATGGGGTTCGGAAGCCGTTGAGTATATGACTACTTTGCGTGACCAGATTGCTAATCAGTTACTTTCAAATGGTTCACGTTAAATGATATACTTTTTTTATTATGTATGACAATGTGTATTTGGATTTTGTATTACACTTCGTATTTGGATTTTTAATTATGTATGTTTAATTTGGATTTAATGTGATAATTTTTATTTGTATAATTATTTTATCCAACACAAAAGGACAACATAAGGATAATATGGTCATTTTAATCATTCAGCACAATCAGTCAGATAAATAATCAAACATCATAAATTCAGTCAGATGTGGACTCAGTCAGCATTTCTAACCCAATCAGCTCCTAACTCAGTCAGCTCTAACCCAATCAGCAACTATCAAACGACCCTTTACTCTCTCCTCCCCATTCTTTAGACCACACAGTACGGTGGCTATGTATAGCGCGTAAGAATGATTTGGTGGCATGTCTACGAGTGAACACCGCCCCCATGTCTTGTAGTGATGGTGTGGGGTGGAGCTTGTTACGGGTCATCATAGAGGAAA